AAGAGCTCGTATGCAGCGTTGTTGTAGCCGTATTGGTCCCAAGATATCAGAGAGAGACAAGGGGAGTGAGGTAATATCTTTAATTGGACACTTCTGTTGCTCAGAGAGACAAGCTTTCGAGTTACACAGAGCTCTTCTTCAGCTCTGTATAAGCTTGAAAGTTTGTCTCTCTCACCAATAGAAGTTGGCCCAATAAAAGAGATTACCTCACCCACCTTGTCTCTCAAAGACTTCTATTTAGCTTAACAAAGAGAAGGTTAAGGGGTGACTTGATCACAGTCTGTAAGTAGCTGCATGGGGAACAATAGTTAATAACGGGCTGTTCAATCTAGCAGGGAAAGACATAACACAATCCAGTGGCTGGGGGTTGAAGCTAGACAAATTCAGACTGGAAATAAGGCATAAACAGTGAGACTAATTAACCATTTGAACAATGTTGAATGGTGGATTCTCCATCATGGTAAATTTTTAAATCAACACTGGATGTTTTTCTAAGAGAGCTGCTCTAAGAATTATTCTGCGGCAGATCTCTGGCCTGTGTTAGACGGGAGATCAGACTAGATGATCCCAGTGGTCCCTTCTGGCCTTAGACTCTATGAACCTATGAACTGTTCTCTCACATTTACTCACCAGCATGACACAGCCATTGCAGCCCCATCACAAGATGTGATTATTTTGTGGTTGTCTGAAATGTCGGTCTTTGGCAAGGTGGCCCACCAGCAATTAAAAGCTGAGCACAGCTGCATCGAGTAACAGGAGAGTAACTCTAAATCTGGCAGAGAATGCAGTTCCTTCCTGTATGCCTTGTCCCTGCCAGTGGTAAGGAAAGAGAGTGAGCATGAAAATATGGGTCCCCCACGGTGCAGAACAGAGCATTCCCACTGGCCTGATTGCTGACAGAATCTCATTAAGTGGAGCTCCATACACAATAAACTCTTCTAAATTACTGACTAAGCTTCAGTGATTTAGGTTAGGTTAAGTACAAACGTGCAAAGTATTCAGTCCAAGAGATAATCTTGCATGATGCACTGTGTGCCTGTCTTCCTCAGACAACAGACCTGCTGACGCAAGCAATGACAGAACTGTCCCAGACCCTGACGACAGACTATCGAACCCCACAGGGAGATTATCAGCGAATCCAGTACATCCCTGTGTCACAATCTACAGCTGGCCTGCAGCAGCCCCAGCACATACAGCTGCAGGTTGTGCAAGTGGCCCAGGTAGGTAATCTACTGAGGATGTATCTTATATCTCTCCCCAAGCCTAAGTGACACCAGTTTTGAAGACTTTGAAGTCCCTCCCCCCCACCCCCCCGAGACCTGGAGCCAAAATCTGAACGTTTGGAAAGTGTCTGCTTTCCCCATGTATTAACTCTTAGGGTATTCGTCCTCTGTGACATTCAGTAACCCCCTTAAAAATAAATATAGAGGGTAATGGGATTAGTGGAGCTGGGGAAATGGATTTCAGGCAGCTTTGCACAACCAGAGCAGCTCCTTTAAACCCTTCAGCCTCTGATTGCTTGGGTGGATCTGAAAGTGTCAAACAGCTTATATTTGAGCCTGAAATGGGGAGCTGCTTCCTGTCCCTTTGTTGCTCATTTTTAGCAATGCTGCACCCCCTGTTAACGATGGCCTAAATACTGGAACCATTTGACATGAATTTATGAAGTTTTAATGATTCAGCTGCTGAGATTCTGGTGCCTGCAGCTTTGAACTGATTTTAACAAGGTGTGATGTCTCTAATTAAATTACTATAATTAAGCAGAAGTTGGTGCCTCTAAGGGCTTGGCTACACTTGCGAGTTACAGCGCAATAAAGGACCCTTGGGTGCCCTAGCTCACTACTCGTCCACACTGGCAAGGCATGTAGAGCGCTCTGACTCCACGGCTACAGCGGTCCTAGTACTCCACCTCGGCAAGTGGAATAACGTTTGCTGCGCCCCCTTGGAGCGCTGCAGTGCCAGCATGGACGAGTTGTTGCATTACTGCGCTCTGATCAGCCTGCGGAAACGTCCCATAATCCCCGTAAGTCAAGTGGCCACTCTTCTCATTGTTTTGAACTCGCTATAGGAATGCGGATATGCTGTTTGAAAGCTCCGTTTCTGACAGCCGGCTGCTTATCTACTCCAAGACAGATAAGTGTGCTCCGAGACAGATTAGTGTGGCATGCTGTGTGTGAGAGAGAGAGGCGAGAGGGAGAGGGGGGGTCTGCTGCTGTCTGAACTTACAAGACAGCATGCTGACATGCTCTCAGCCCCCCACATACACACAACACACTCCCTGTCACACTCCACACACACACCCCCATTTGAAAAGCATGTTGCAGTCACTTGCATGCTGGGATAGCTGCCCATAATGCACCGCTCCCAATGCCGCTGCAAGTGCCGCAAATGTGGCCACGCCAGTGCGCAAGCAGCTGCGCTTTCCCTACTGCGCTCTCCGAAGGCGGGTTTAACTCACAGCGCTCTACATCTACAAGTGTAGCCATGCCCTAAGAGTCTTTAATAGGCAAGACACTGGAAACTTCACTTTTCTTTCCCCTAACATAGATCTGTATCTAATCAGAGCATGGATATGCAGTTCTGGAATGTATGAACACAAACATTTACAGAGAGGAAGGATGGTCCAGTAGTTAGGGCACTAGTCTAGGACTTGGGAGTCCAAGTCCCTGATCTGCCACGAACTCCTGTGTAATCTTGGGCAGATCACTTAGCCCTGGTCTACACTACAGAGCTAGGTTGACGTAAGGCAGCTTATGTCTACCTAACTCTGTAAGCATCTACGCTAAAATGTAGCTCCCACCCATGTAACTTGCCCACTACACCGACTGGATAACTCCACATGCACGAGAGGTGTAGCGCTTAGGCGTAGTTAAATCGACATAGTGTCAGTGTAGACACTGCGTTGCTTACATTGACTGGCGCTGCCTGTCAGAAGCCGTCCCACAATGCCCACACTAACAGTTAAATCTGTGCAAGTGCTCCTGGTGAGGACACGCACTGCCAGCATAAGGAGCGTAGTGTAGACATGCAAAAGCGATTGAATTACTGTGGTGGCTGTACGTTGACCTAACTTAGGTCGACTTAATTTTGAAATGTTGACTTGCCCTTAGTCTCTCTGTGCCTGGGATCCCCATCTGTACAGTGAACTTCCCTACCTCACAGGGGTGTTGTGAGAATAAATACATTAAAGATCGTGAGGCGCTCAGATGCTAATTGGCACCATATAAATCGATAGATTTAATAATTAGAGAATTGTCTCTTTGTGCCACTAAATTGCTTATTTACCTTCCATTATGACGCAATTTTTTAGCCCTGTTTACAAGTTAGCAACAACCCTGTTGTAATGTAGGCTACTGATCACTCCAAGTGTTGCTTATTGTTTAATATTTGTATTAGGATAGTGCCCAGAGGTCCCCATCAGGATCATGGCCCCATTGCTCTAGGTACTATGCAAACAGAAAGGTGGACACCGTCCCTGCCCCAGGGAGTTTACAGTTCACAGCTCTGCTTTGATTTTCCCAGGCTACCTCACCTCACCAGTCCCAGCATTCCACGGTGGACGTTGGACAGCTGCATGACCCCCAGACGTACACCCAGCATGCCATCCAGGTGCAGCATATCCAGGTCACAGAGCCATCCCCAACAACTCAATCGTCATCACAGGTATCCCATGCTTTCAATGCAAAGAGCATTCTCCGCTGGAGTTTTATCCAGCCCTATGCAGCTGATGCTCTGTCCGTAGGACTCCCATTGTTTCCCATTAGTCACGTAGCTGAAGTTGCGTAACGTACATTGATCCCCGCCCCCCAGTGTAGACCAGGCCTAAGAGGAATGTATCTCCAGCGGTACAAATGCGTGTAATCCATATCCTGCTGGCAGATAAATAATTATGTCTATTTTCATGGTGTTGTTCTAGGTGGGAGCTCAGCCATTGAGTCCCTCATCACAACAGTCTCAGCAGGAACTCAGCCCCTCCCAAATGCAAACGACGACATCAGCACCAAGCCAAACTCTCCAGCAACAGCAAGGATCCGCAGTCCAGCACACGTATCTACCCAGCACATGGAACTCATTTCGTAGCTACCGTAAGTATCAGAAATGGAGAAGGTCAGCAATCCCATTAACTCCCTTTGGGACTGAATTCAAGTCTCTTAGCTCCTTTTCCTCCATTTCTCCAGCTGTAAAATGGGAAGTGAAACACTTCCCTACTTCACAGAGGATTGGGAGGATTCATTAGTTAATGTTCATTAAGCTCTTTGAAGGGGAACAGGGCTATATAAATACAAACTATTATTATTGGACTTTCCCCTTTCCAGGCTGGAGTCACCTCCTTGTGTTTTAAGTGGTCTGTTTTAGCAGGCTGGTTTCTCTTTTCCAAGGGGAGTGTATTTGGCAAGAATAAGTCTGCCTTGGAGAATGGATTGTTTAAATTCAGAGGAAAGCCCTAACGCATTCCGAAAAGGCTCATTTAAGAGAGGGTGACACAAAATGGACTTTTCACAACTGATGTCAAGTACCTTCCTGTGCAACTCTGGCCAACAACCCTCTATGAATCCTGGAGCAACACATCCTTGAGGAATACTTCCATATATGGCAACAACGGAATATGATGGCTGTGGACTAAAGAGATCCTGAGATGATGTCAGTTGGTGTAGCTCCACTGAAGTCAATAGGGCTATGCTGATTTTCACCACCTGAGGATCCGGCCCTAAGTATCTGATTCTTTTTCCCACGGGAGCTCAAACTTTGCCCAGATGAAGGCTGTGTTGATAACTCACCAGAAGCCCAACACTTAAATTGTACGACCTGGCGTCAGTTGCTGCCTAATCTTACAGCCCTTGGAGACTGGGTACCAGCATGCAACTTCCATCTTCATTTAAGCAGCCGCACTGCATTTCATGCTGAAACTTGTACTCTTTGCCAGTCAGCCTTACCTCTGCATTAAAATGGGGATAGTCACAGGCCCCATTGTAGCACTCCCGGGCTTTATCCATACTAACCTCTGACAGTCTTTAACTGTATTTCTCGATCCTCTCTTCTAGCATCAGAAATTCAGATGATGACCATCCCACAGGGTCAGTATGTGATCGCAGAGACCGCGGTAGGCACTCCTGTCACCACAGTGAACACAGGGCAAGTGAAAGCGGTCACCCAGGTAAGCAGAAGGATGGCAGTCTTTGTTCTGGGAGGATGAATTAGACATAAAGCTCTCGGTCTGAACACATTAAAGAAACACCAAAAGAAATGTCAGGGGGACACAAAGTAGGAAACATGGTGGTGTCATACCAAGGATACGTGTAAAGGTGTTTTCTGAAGTTACGTGCCTTACAACTGATAAAAACTGAATGTGTGTGTAAGTGACAGAGAGATAGAACTGTATGATCTAAAAGATCCCAGGCCTTCTGCAACACTTGTACCAAGTACCATATTGGGGCAGTGACCATAGCTACGCTTGCAGCCCTTGGTTACGTAACATGCTGGGACTCAGGAGACCCAAGGCTGAGGAGCAATGTGGCATTGTTCTTAAGGGTCCAGGAGGCAAGAAATGATCTATTTGGTGGGAAGGTGTCAGTCATCTACTTCAAGGGAAAACACAGTTAATTATTTATGCAGTACCACAATCCCTATGAGGTGGGGTAGCTGGGTGATCTGCTGCAGAGCTACGGAGCAGCAAGCCCTGGCCTAAGGAGAAGCCCAGCAGGTAGGAGCCAATCATTAGCTGCTGCTTAGTTGGATATGCGGATCATGCTGCTACACACAAGTGAACATGAAGAACCCTGTACTAAAGCATTTCCAGTCTGATGCCACCGTGTGGCTGACATTCACTCGTATGAGTGGCTTTACATGAGCAAATAGTTCCATTTAGCTCATCAAACTGAGTCCAGTAGGACTACTCCCTTGCATAAATGATTGCAGGACCAGGGCCCAAATTAGTAGTATTGATTAGTTATAATACTTCAGATAGGTAAATATTTATTAAAGCCGGCTACAGACAGAAATGAATTTTCAAAACAGTTTTTAGAAACTTTTGTCATTGTTAAACTCTTTGCATAACTGAATGGTGTGAACGGACTCAGTGAAAGCTGCCACGATACTCAGATTGTCTAGCAGGAGATCGAACATACTGATCTAGGATACAGAAAATGCAGCTCCCACTGGAATGTATGGTGAAATAGGAGACTTTCAGAGTTATTGTAAAGTGAGTTAGTTATTTTAATTTTTTGCATGGGTGGGTTAATTATACAGTTGGTTTTAGCCAATGTTAAATTAACCCTTTTTTTATAAAAAGAACAGGAGTACTTGTGGCACGTTAGAGACTAACACATTTATTTGACCATAAGCTTTCGTGGGCTACAGCCCACTTCATCGGATGCATGCAGTGGAAAATACAGTAGGAAAATATATATATACACAGAGAACATGAAACAATGGGAGTTACCATACACACTATAAGGAGAGTGATCAGTTAAGGTGAGCTATTATCAGCAGGAGAGAAAAAGAACTGTTTGTAGTGGTAATGAAAATGGCCCATTTCCAGCAATTGACAAGGAGAAACACCCATTGTTTCATGTTCTCTGTGTATATATATATTTTCCTACTGTATTTTCCACTGCATGCATCCGATGAAGTGGGCTGTAGCCCACGAAAGCTTATGGTCAAATAAATGTGTTAGTCTCTAACGTGCCACAAGTACTCCTGTTCTTTTTGCGAATACAGACTAACACGGCTGCAACTCTGAAACCTTTTTTTATAGGAGTTAAATGAGCCTTACAACTTTGAAAGTAT